TTGAACATTTTATACATGGTTTTACAACTTCATCCCTAACTCAAGTAGTCAATTTTCTAACTTGCTTTCCAGCGAGTTAGAAAGTTTTCCTTCTCTACTTGACTTATGTCTTGTTTCTGATCCTAGTCAGTGCTCAGTTTCTCCACATTCACCCTTAGGTGCATCTGATCACAGTTTGATCTCTCAAAAACTATTATCTCTTTCTTTATCATTAGAATCCCCCTATCATTATACATCTTACAACTACCTTAAAGCTGACTGGGACTCTTTCCGTGATTTTCTTTGTGATGGCCCTCAGCTAGAAATCTTTTGTCTTCCTGTTGACAATTGTGCTTCTTACATAACTTCGTGGATTCAGGCTGGCATGGAATCCTTTATTCGCTCTCGACGATTCCAGGTCAAGCCTCACTCTTCTCCATGGTTTTCCTCACATTGTGCTGCTGCAATTGAAAAATTGAAACCATTACTTCCATATCTATCAGCAAAACAATTCTCCAGAAAACAGACGTCTGTTTATTGCTGTTAAGAACCATTGTAAAAAGGTTTTGTCTAACGCCAAAACCCGCTATTCTCAGGTCATGAAATCTCGTATTTCATCACAAAAATTAGGCTCTCGTGACTTCTGGAGAATCTTTAATAGTATCAATAATAAGGGCAAGTCTGTAATTCCACCTCTTTTGTATGGTTCAGACTTTGTCACCTCTCCTAAAGACAAAGTTGAATTGTTTACTAAAAACTTTTCATCAATATTATCTCTTGATTCCACTAGTTGCGTTCTACCTGGTATAGGCGTCAAACAGGTTGATCCATTGCTTGACATTCGTATCACTCCAGCTTCTGTATCTAAAGTAGTTTCCTGCTTAGACTCTTCTACAGTTTGTGACCCAGACAACATACCTATTATAGTCTTGCAGAAGTGTTCTCTAGAGCTGTCGTCTATCCTTTCAAAACTATTCAACAAGTGCTTATCAGAGTCTTGTTTTCCAGCCTGTTGGAAAGCAGCATCTGTTATCCCTATTTTCAAAAATTCTGGAAAGCAATCCGATTCGTCTAACTACCGTCCCATTAGTCTTCTTCCTGTCATAAGCAAGGTTTTTGAATTTTTAATTAACTTACACTTAATCTCTCATCTTCAATCTAATAACTTACTTTCTGATCATCAATATGGATTTCATTCTTCTCGTTCTATGGCTATTTTGATAACAGTAATAACCGATAGGTTTTATCATGCATAAGATATAGGTGGAGAGGTTAAGGCCATCGCTCTTGACATTTCTAAAGCGTTTGATAAAGTTTGGCATGCTGGTCTTCTCCATAAGCTTTCTTCTTATGGTGTATCTGGAAACATCTTTAAGATTATTGAATCCTTCCTTTCTAATCGTAGTATAAAAGTTGTCCTCGATGAACAGCACTCTTCTTCTTATTCTGTAAGCTCAGGGGTTCCTCAAGGTTCAATCTTTGGCTCTATACTCTTTTTAATTTACATTATTGATCTTTTAGATATTCTTACAAGGTGGCATTGTTTGGTGATGGTTCTACCATTTATTCTTGTCATGATAAGAAGCCACCTCTCTCTGATTTTTAATTTTTTTTAAATTCAGATAAAACTCAATTTTTTTCAGCCAATCATTATCGCAATAATTTAGACCTTCCTATATTAATGAACGGTAATGTACTCGATGAGTGTCCTACCCTTCATCTTCTAGGATTAACTCTTACTTCTGATCTTTCTTGGAAACCTTATATCAAATCCGTTGCAAAATTAGGATCTGCTAAAGTTGCATCTCTTTATCGAGCTCGACACTTTCTTACTCTGGAGTCTATTCTCTATCTCTATAAATCTCAAATCCGACCTTGTATGGAATACTGTTGCCATATCTGGGGTGGATCTTCTAATGATGCCCTTTCTCTTTTAGACAAGGTGCAAAAACGCATTGTAAACATAGTTTGACCTGCTCTTGCAGCCAACCTTCAACCATTATCACATCGTCGTAATGTTGCTTCTCTTTCTCTTTTCTGCAAATACTATAATGGGCACTGCTCTAAAGAGCTAGCGTCTCTTGTGCGATCTACTAAAGTTCATTCTCCTGTTACTCGTCATTCAATTAAGTCTCATCCGTTTTCTTTGACTGTTCCTTAGTGCTCTAAAAACTCTTATTCCTCTAGTTTTTTTCCTCGAACATCAGTTCTTTGGAATTTGCTTCCTTCATCTTGCTTTCCTGATTCATATAATTTGCAATCTTTTAAGACTGCAAATTATATGAATCAGGAACGCAAGATGAAGATGGTTTAAGATAATAATTGTATGTATATATATATATATATATATATATATATATATATATATATATATATATATATATATATATATATATATATACATACAATTATTATCTTAAATCATGTGTAACATTCTCCTTTTTGCATAGGAGAAGGCAAAAGAAGCTAGTTAAAGTTTAAATTTTTACAGTGTTATTCTGCATGAGGAGGCTGGTCACCT